CCCTAGTTCTACTTTGCGACAGCTCTGAGTTTTAAACTTCCATGGCCACTAAATAAGTGTAGGTCGAGATCTATTTTCCCTTTAGCCTTCGGCATGCTACTGCACTCCTCTGCCTTTATTAAGCCCTAATGTAGGAGCCTTAGGCCTGGTTTCTACTGTTGCACATATCTAATTATCCACTGTACTAAATTGCTCCTTGCTTTTAGATAATACTGTGGAAGCCAGCTTGCCAAACATGCTACAGGCTCTATTGCAGGAATGCCCTACATTAAGCTTGCATTTAACTACTATTATAATACCCAACATACATTTGCCTAGATGGTTCGATGGATTAGTCGCTTAGGGGAAGCCTGTATGCTCATCTCGATGGTATGCATATCTCTTGCTGGCTCGCAAGAATAATGTTATATAGATGGCCCAATTATAGATAACAAGTTTGCAGACCGCACACTCCGTTCGAACCCCACATGATCACGCAAACACACAGCGCGGACAACAAGCTATTGTAGCGCGGAGAACGAGCCGCCCTGAATAACAGTAGAGATACATAGTTGCCCTTCTCGGCGAAGGACTGCTATACATACCCGCTTAGTACGTAGGGTCGGGAACCTCGTTCTTTTAGACTTAATCGTGCTGATAGTTCGCTTCATGGGCGAATTTAGCAGCGGCGTCGCCATCTTAAACCTGAGCTCTCATGGCGCCTCTGCTTTACGTCTTAAGCACCTCGACGAGCCTAACGGCCTTTACCCGGCATTCCCAATCAGGGTATTTATTAGGGATGAAGTACAGTTGTTCTATGGAGAGGTCCAGAGGATTTATAAGAGACAAGGCCCTCAGAGTCAAGAGTGCAAGGCGAAATCTGAGTGGAGAGAATCTAAGCGTAAAGAAAGGGAGAGTATCTTGATAGAAACAACATGGCAGTCGAATCAAACCAAGATCTTTCAATGGGGTGGATAAGACTGCCTACTTGCCCATATGGAATATCCCGCAGATTAGCAGTAAAGTGGTGGTAATAATCTAACTCGTAAGACATCTGGCATATGCTCAGGAGCCAAGGTGACATGATACGGATGAGGTGTTTCGACGGCTTTTGCGACATGCCTATAGAAGCTGAACCATGTGTAACTGTTAATCTATAGATAATACAGCTAATCAGATAGCACCATCGATTGAATAGTAAGGTCTTAGCCATAGGTGAAAGCGTACCCGCCATGGAATGCAATATGAATCTCGAAATAGTAATCTAGCTTGTTAGCATCTAACAACACTAGCTAATCTAACCTCCAGGAACGGATATTACGACTACTTGGACATTAGGATCATTCGTGTTTGGGTGGAGCTTATGAGGCAATTCGACAATGCTAGGTCCGGATAAAACTCCGCGAGGTGTATAGTAATAACTGGCTACTTCTCCCTGACGCCTATGTGGAGTCTCGCAGCGATTCTGTTTTGTAAACCAAGCAAAAGTATTAGTCCTAGTTCTCTTGCAGAATAGGACCGGGGATTTATCACTCCACGTGTCATCCTGGATGGCACGAATGGGAAGAGGGTGAAGAAACTAGAATGTTTTCTAGGGATTTGACACAGTGAGGTGGTACCTGTATGCAATTGCGACTTTTAATTCTGGTTACACGCTCGGCCTTATTACAAGAAGGGGTTGAGAAATATATGTATGGAAGGGGCTGCCTAGGTTATATTCGAAGCCATGGAGGGATGGGCACATGGTTGCAGTCATCGACTCAGGCCATATGAGAATCATGCAGCAAGATGAATGGTTGTGGCCTGTGCCGCATGGTCATATTATGATCGAACGATCCTCACGCCGCCGGCATCCGTATGGCTTTCTATGGTTGAAGACTGCCCTAGAACGCTCCCGCATCAGCCGAAAGACGTCTGGCCACGACCATCATATCAGCTGCAGTCAGGTATTGCAACCGCCGTTAATGATCTTAGGATTATCCAGCAGCTCAACTCGCCGTCTCTCAAGAACATAAGCTGGCTCCAGGCCAGTATAGCATAGGGGAACCGAGGAATTGGCTTGGGTAACATTCCAGTGTGGGAAGTTGAGCAATCGAGACCATGACTAATGCTGTAACTTGTGCGCACGATGGCCCTTCAGTCCTAAGTAATCGCATTCGAGCAGCGTATGTTCAACCCAGGCTGTGCATCCAGTGCGGCGCCTGCCTCCCCACAATCTGCAAGCAGTTCTACGTGGGACCACGTGCCAATTTCTGCGATACACGCCTTGGCTGCTTGGAAACGACAATGCAACTTTGGTTCTGGAATTGGAACGGCGTCTGTATCGTAGGCCTGGAAGCAATACGGCGTCAGAGAGAGTAAGTCGTTAGGATTACCAGCGGATGCTTCACTTTTTCGTGACTAATGTAGCACTACTGAGAAATCTGATAGGGCGGGGTGTGATACTAATCCAGGGTTGTAGCTTAGGTTTAGGACAGAAAGCGTAGAGAAGACAGTTGCGCGTGGTAGGCAAAGTACAAAGTAGAAAGAAGAGAGGGAGGGAGGTTACTCTGGTAGCCGTTAACTGGCAGCATGTTCTAATTAGATAGACCTATCATGGACATATTAATTGTTGCAAACTTTGACAGAGCACATATAAAGTGTTCAGACTAAACAGCTAACATTTGCTTTACAGTAGAGTCGCTTCTCTTGGACTAGTGTTCGCGTCCTTCTGAGCACCGTTATAGGCGCGTCTGGGTGCGGAGGGTAGAGCTTTATTTCTCGCGAAGTTTCACCTTCTGGGCCTGCCATTTTCCGTATGCATGCGGACTATCTTCCATAATGTTACCCTTAGGATACGACGTTCCTTCATGGCAAGATGTTGCGAGGTTATCATCGTGGTAGTCGGGGTGGAGCGGTAGAAGGCAGATATGGTTGCTTAAGGGCTTCGGTGCGTTATAATTTCCGCTTCTTAGAGGGGAAGAACAGGTTATAGTTCGTAGGTGCTAGTGTTGAAGCCTAAAACGCGAGGCTCTAACGGCCGTAATTTTCCCCAGATGCCAGCACAATCCGCAAACCAAGCAGCCAACTACGCGTTCCCAATCTCCTCCCTGATCCTCCCCCAAAACGCGAATTTCCCAGAGGGGGTTTGAAAGCAAGGAAGATCAAAGGGGTGCCATGTGTCCATAGAGTCCAATATGGCGCGTTGTGGTCGAATTTCCGTTCTCGAAATGAGTAAACGAAGGTCGGGATGAATGGCGCATAGATCTCATGGATATACAACGTTCGGGGAGGTGCACTGCAGTGTCTCTATCCGTTGGGTTCCACTCCAAGTCAAGTAAGGGTGCGGGTACATGTGGAGCGGGCATACCTGCCCTCTGAATAGCTAGCTCAGAAGTTCCGAACGTTTAGATTATCTCGTCAGACCTTGTCGCTTTCCTCGATGCTTCCACAGCAAGAAAACCAGTCCGTCTGGATTAGCTGCGATCGAGCGTTGTTGCGAGAAATACCTAGCACTTCGCAGTGCGTTTTATTGAAGCGAAGCCGTTATGTGTTGTACTGAGGGTGCTCTAACAGGTGCGGTTGTTGCGGAATCGTTTCTAGTTTCGAATGTTTGCTAGGAGCGCTACCTAGGGTGTCTATTAGCGACGCTTTTCATGATTAAGAACGGGCCTGGCGCTGACGGCTCTTCCTTTACACATCTACTGGTAAGTTGCTGCTCTTCACTCTTCGCCATGCTAATATGGCGCTCTTTAAAGCAGAGACCTCCTAATCTCTTCCCTTCAGCCCTGCGGCTGTTCCCTCCTATTCTCCCGCCGTCTCGATGCCCAACGATCCCGCGCGCTGGATTGCATCGTTTTGAAGATTATGGAAGCTAGTGCATGCTAAGTAATCTATAGCGGGTTGAAGATTGCGGGATGTTTTGTTGTGTCCACATAAAGCCAGAAACGAGAGCCGTCGGCGGATTGATAGAAGAATTGTTTGGGTCATCCGTATCTGCCACATTCAGCTTTCTCGTCGCGTTTGCTTCAAGGCTAATTGATGCGCGCATACTCACACATAGGGCTCTCCTCAACTTTCGTCCATTCCTCCACGACATCCTGTTACCTATTAATTATCGTCTCTATGAGTATCTCTTAGGTACGCGAAGAATCCAGGCTCGGTTGGGGATGCGCCGGATGCGGTGCTTGGCGTTGCAGGGTTGTCGCGCGAGTTCGACCCGGAAGTCGACCAACAAAACCATTCCGAACGTCACAACCACGCGCTGCACCGTCACCGTTCAAGTTTGGATGGCCTTCGCATATGCGCCCCAGTTACTGATCTTAATTTTAGGTGATAATAATAAGTGGTTAGAGTTAGTGGTGGGTATGGTGGAAATGTCGGTGTTCCTTGCCAAGCACGCTAGCCGAAGCTAACCCAAGTAGGCCAAGTGCGAAACCCCGCTCCCTCAACACCAGGCACACGACTGCGGGTTTTCTGCGCATGCGCAGAAAGTGCCAATTGCCGAATAAATTCCAAATGCTGGCTGCGTATTAAAGACGTGTCACTTCTACTAGAAGCGGGTAGCGGGTAGACAATGTGGTTGGAGAGGAGGGCGGCAAGTAGTCGATTTTTAGTAACGCCGATAGCTCTGGCCTCCGGGCCCTTGAGGGCTCGCCTATGCAGAGGTCGCAGTGCAGCGGCTGTAACGCCCAACAACGCAACATTCTTCTCTAAAACTGCGCCAGGCTCGCTTAGAATTGTATGCGACGTCCATACGGAATTGCGCCTCTACTTGCTTAGGGCGTCGTTGTGGGTGGGTAAGAACTCGAGACGACAAGCCGCAGCAGTGGCTGGGGGACATGCGAGCCCTCTGATTGGCCAAAATAATTTTCTATCCGATGTTTTGAAGTTCTGCGATAAGCCTGGCACACGGCATCGAAGTCTCGAGGCACTTGCACCCCAGAAGCGAAACCAGCTCCACCCTTTCTCTGATCCTACTATTATCTATCCTACCTTAGAAAGGCGGGCTTACGTCTCGGCCTATCCATAAAAGGAAAAAAAAGAAAAAGACAAAAACATACAACAGCGGGTATTCGCTAGTGGTCACCCACCTAACTACTAATCCGCCGGTACGCTGCTTAAATATGGCTGAGCGAACGGGAAGCCTTGTATTCAGCGTCCTATGGTCGTATGTGCTAGTAATAGCGCGATTTGGCATAAATATATGGCTCATTCGTCGGTCAGGGTTCATATGTACCAGATATGCCTCTGCCAAGCATATATATAGCTTAGTTTTATTCAACATATGTGGAATCTCTGACTTAAATCTTCTTCCATGCTTAACAACCCGCGCAGAACCACACGCTTTTTTTCTCGATTCGGCTTTTCCCGCCTGCTGTGGCGTCTTCCTGGCCACATCTCGTGCAGGATTGATCACTAGGGCATCCACGTCTATACCAGGGCATTAACATCTCCACCAGGGTGTCAATATCTACACCGAGGCGTCAAAGACCAGGCATCGGCGTTTATGCCAGTGCAACCCCGCGTATCTCATATAGCTACCGCGACATCAAGGAAGCGGTTGACCGCATGGCTAATAGCGGCTTCTGGTGCGGGCTCGACGCGATCCGAGAGGGTGGAGAGGACACTATTCTGAGACAGCGTTCGGGTTTATACTGTCGTCCAGTGCAGGAGCATGATTACTATCTGCATCATGTGTGGACTAGAAATGATCGCGCTGTTTCCGTTTTCGAGCGAGCGTTCTCAGGCCCTACATTCTGTACATGTTGCCAGGGTATAGTGTGAACGAGAACCTGACGAAGACGGTGAATACCATGAAAGAGTCGGGCATCGGAGTAGGGAAACACAGTCAGAGGCTCAGAGGCCAATCATGGGCTCAGCTGAGCCGCCGCAGACGACTGAGTTTGCCCCTGGGATGCCGAATATGAATACAGAGACAAAAAGCCTCTTCATAGGCATCAGCGTACTGGTCCCGAGTGTCCTGATGAACGAGAATGCCGACTTAGCTACAGGCGCCGGAGAAGGGCTGCTACCGCCTGTTTCCACTGCCTCGAGTCGCTCGCGAGGGTTTCTTGAGTCACTTCAAATACAATGTTCTCACTCATGACGCTTACTTTGGGGGGGATGCCCCTGTTCTGGCGTTTGACTGTGAACACGCCGCCGCGCCGTTCGCGACTATGGGGATGCGCTCGAATGTGATTTTGGGGAGCTGGTAAGCAGACATATTCATAGCAGCAACCATGCCAAGATGCCACTGATCATGCTGCTAATGTACAGCTTCGTATTCCCGACACTGCTTGCGTTTCTGTAGATGGCCTTGACTAGGAAGGAAATCATGGGTGGGTGGGTGGACTAGCTCATGTGGGGACCAACTCTCGATGCTAGACCACTGAATGATGAAGGGAAGGGGGTCATTGAGGTCACTGGCCGAGACTGAACCGCTAAGATCCCCTTGACTCCGAGCTAGACTTGGAAGACACTATAGAGCATGGACAGGAGGGCAGCGACTATTGAACACACTGTTACCAGCTACACAAGGGGTACGAAGGCGCCGGCGCCAAGAAGAACAGCCTCAATCCCGCCACCAACGCCCCTAGGATCGCAGGCGCACCCACCTTCAGGGCCACCATGAGGTATAAGCGAGGCCAAGTCCCACCACAAGTGCAGGTCCGCCTCCGCCCTCTCCCGCACCAAGTTAACTGACACATACATGCCTGCAAGCACCAGTAGCGATCCTGAGAATGGCGGCGCGTATCTTCCCAGGCACAACGACGCACATCCTCTCGCTTATAGCCAACCAACCATTCAGAGTTCTAGCTAGGCCTATAGTAGCCAGCGCGAGAGCGCACTCCCTAACATCTTGAACAAGCCCTTATCCTCGCTTAGCAACTTCTCTCCTTAGGTGTATAACTCGCACATTGCCCGCCTTTGTAGAGCCACACACTCAAGCGCCAATCAACGCCAGTAATCCTCAACATGGGCCGTCTCGCTTTCGATATCTCCTGGCCGAAATGTAGGTGCCAACATCGCCACCACAGCATTACCGCATCCTTCCTTCATCTTTGCCCGGCTTGAAAAATATTAAGAGCTTGGCCCCAATTAGAAAGACTGCTACGCAAAATACAGCTCCGGAAAGAGTGCTTTACGAACGCGTAATATGCGAACATTTTCTCCACCTACTGTATTATCTCACCAGCATAGAGCCTGAGATAGATTGTCCCGGCGCATGCTCCATGCAATCGAGTAACCTAGCTAACAATCGATCCTGGTGGGTAGAGTATACAGCGTACTCCCTAACATGGCATTTCCACCAATAGTCTCCACTATCACGACGACGGCTTATAGATTAAAATGTGCATGGACTCTTAAGCTCGAGGGGTCTCGCCACGTTCGGAAATAAGGAATAAAGAGAATCTGCGTAATACCAGCTACAGCACCTACTTTACTACTTGGCTCTTATTCAGGACACATGGAAGGAGCGTCATCATGCTTCAGCAATGGCGAGTGTAAGATGCTACCAAAAATTGTAGGGTAGGAGTCCATTCCACAAACACCTTTTCCTCTAACGCTATACCATATTTCTCCTCGACTTTCGTGCTCTAATGCTTTTATACCACTAGCAACTACACTGTCCTTCCTCTAAGGAAAACAATCTTCCTCCTTATTAGAAGAGTAGAAGATAAAAGGCGGCCTTCTAACCTATATACTTCAGTATAATCTCCTACTTACCCTTCCAAGCATTCCTCTCCTCTCCGTTAACTCTATCACCCTTTTAATTACGCTACCATCCTCAGCATATACTATATCCAAGCAGAAGAGAAGACTAACCTCCGCTCTTACACAGGATAAAGAACAAAACGCACTATCACAGCCTCACAACCCTACTACTAATCAACCATAGGCACTCTGTCTATGAGCCCATTCGTTCCACTTACACGAAACTCGACTCCGAACACTCTAGTTCGAGGGAATAGGCGAGAAGCGTGCCTCCTATCCCTTAGATAGTTCTATCCACAGTCCTGCTCCGTCCTCCGCTATCTAGCTATATGTAGCTCAAACCCGCCCACTCAAAGAAGGAAGACGCTCAACCGAGGTGCGATTAATAACACAGTACAAGCAATTCCCCCCGCCGCTTCTCCTGAACGGCATCCCCTTAACTCCATTCCATTATCGCGTTAAACTAAGAGTAAGCCTACGAGCAGTCTTCCCGCTACAGCTAGAGCTCGATGGCAAGTTACCCGTCCTACTAGAAGGAATAGGTAGAGGCCTTCACGTCCGATTCGCTGTTTGGCAATATCGCCCCAATATCTCATTTAATCTAAACCTAAATGCCATCGCTACATATACTACCACCCTTATCGCCGCAAAGCACCTGCCACAACCTAACCTATATAAACTACACCCCCGCACATGAATATTATTAAAGTAGCGAGGGTATGAATTAATCGTTAACGGGATTGCTCGTTGCCTACATTTTCGCATGCGCGCGGTCCCCTCGAAGTAGGGAAGAGTAGTTTTTGTTGCTAGTAGTGGTTGCGGTATAAGAGGGGTAGGACGAGGTAGGAATTAGATAGGAATGAGAGTGAGTATAGGAATAGGGACGAGAATAGAAATAGCTAGATATGTGGATAAGCAGATTTAGAAACTAAATAACATGTATAGAAAGTAACTTGCACCTTACGAAGTAGACTCGCAATTATATAACGCACTCGTTCTCTCTTTCTTATATGTACATGGGGGATCCCCTACATTTTAAAAGTTAGGAAAGGCAATAAGCACTGCGAAGAGAGAAGGCGGCGGATTGATCGAGGTGTAATGCTGGATCTGTGGGGTGGTTGGTTGAAGTAGGGTTGCCAAAAGCTGTGTTGTCGCTAATTAAGGTAGCGATAATAGAAGCTGGAAACTGGAAGCTGGTGATGCCGGATGCTAGGGAAAAGTTGTTTAGAAAACCTTGATAGAGAAGCGAGAAGTTGGCGAGAAGTTGTAAATCAGGTCGTTGATACAGGAACCTTGGAGGTCTAGATAATAACATTTAAAGCAGGGAGAGATGGGCGGTTAGGGACTAGAGAGGTCCACGTAGGAAGCACGGTAGTTGTAGATCACACGCGCCGACGCAGAATCGCCAGCTGTCTATAGGGGAAGTGGATACGGAGCGCCGCGCCGACGTGGTGGTATTCAAGAGATAAAGCAGTCTCTGGGTAGCTTGGAGCAGATGCCGAAGGTACAGAGGCCGACGCCGCGAGCAGATCCATCATTCTCAAAGCGACCAACACTGGCACTGCGAGTGCTTCTATCTTGCCCGCTAATATTTAGTAACGTGGCATTCAAGTGATAGAAGAGAGATTAGATAGTAGAGAATGTTTGAACTATCTAATGGACCCAAGGTATGTTGTAAGCGAAAGGCATACTGCTTAATGCTTGAAGCTAGCGGAGGCCTTAATTCATTCAGTATAGCAACGTTGGAGCTACGAAGGCGGCGCCGACCAAGGACCCAATAAAGCTCTAAAACATCCATTACTCATGGGGAGGCACGAGGGTCCACTGTTTGAGGACTCAGAGCTCTGCATTATCCGCCGCTCACGCAGAGGCATGGGATCGTACTAATCAAGGCTCTGGTGAAGCTCTGAGTCCTCTATCGTCCATGTGGCAGCGTGGAGGCTATACTGGTAGAGACCCGATGAAGTTCTAAGCGTTCGAGCTCGTGTAGAGCACGGGAGCGGCATGGATTGTAGCCTAGGGGAAAATCGGAGCGATCTTGCTTATGTTGAGGCATGGAGGCCGTACTAATTGAGGTCCGGGTGAAGCTTAGAGCGTTCGCGTGTATGCAGAGTAATAGATTGAAGACTAGGTGGAGTTTGTGGGCATTCGGTGCGCTTATGTAGAGGCGTGAGAGGTCGTACGGATCGAAGACCAGATGGAGCTCGCGCGCATTCGGCGCGAGGCCACGCGGATCGAAGGCCAGAGGGAGTCCGGCATGTTCGGCATGCTCAGGTATACGCAGGGGTGGGATGCCGCATTGGTTGACGGCTAGAGGAAGCCCTGCGTGTTCGGCGCGCTTAGGTATACGTGGGAGTGAGATTCCACGTCGATTGGAGCCCAGAGGAATTCCTGTGTTGGCCCGGCCAAGTATACATGGGAGTGGGACGCCGCATCAGTCAAAGCCCAGAGGGACTCTTGTGTCGGCGCAGTCAAGTATGCGTGGTTGCGGGATGCCGCAACGATTGAAGCCTGGAGGAAGTCCTGCATCGGCGCAGTTAGAGTGTATGTGCATGTGAGACGCCGCATCGATCGAAGACCGGTGCCGTGCGCGGGTGTGGATGCGTCGGCACAGGGCTGGTGGCGGCGAGGGCTGTGGCCGCAAATTTCTCGCGGCAGCGACTGTCGCTAGCCCAACACAAATCTCGAACGCGTCGCGATGGGCAGACAACGCAGCGCAACGCCGACGCCGCCGTTGACCACGTTCGCAATGAGCACGACGGCGTGCGCATGGCAGCTCAACATCGATGCCGCAGGTGATGATCTACCCAACGAGCACTCGCTTGCCAGATGGGCACCTAATAACTATCTTGCCACAGAACAATCCACATAATGCGCACTAGCTTCTATGCGAAACGGCCTGCCGACGAACCCGCAATTGGCGTTTATAATGGATACGAATAGGGAAGAAAAAAATAAGGCAGCCTGCAGCTGGCGATCTTCGCACAATGCGCACTCTAGCGGTATGCGAAAGAGGCAGTTTGCGAAACCGCAGCGACGTATTCCTAGCAACTTTATTTACTTCCGCGTTTCCGTACTCTGCTCTATGGTCAAGGCGACGCCACCCAGATGCTGTAAAGAATCGGTGGCTATGAGAATACCGCTCGAATGCAAGCTAGCCATATGCATTGATATTAGCTACATTCTTCCCTCCCTCCAGACCTGCCTGTTAAGCCTGTGACGATGCACTTGCTCGCTGCCCCCTACAACGTCTCCTATAGCTAACCGCTTTCCAAGCACCGCACACGGGAATACGACGATGATAAGACACGGTGATACGCTACCATAACTCGTCTCTTCCTTCCACACTGGCTAAGCTCGACAAAGCACATCTTCGAAGAAAGGCTCTTGAGAACGACCGCTGCAACACGAATGAAAATCCAACACGGTGCGTACCGGAAGCGAAACTAGCAGGAAGAGGAGGGAAGAGGAAGAGATATCACGAGGCTATTGAGGAGACGGAATCACTGTTGTTTGAGATAGAGGAACTAAAGAGCACTACGTTCTATCGGTCTCTGTTCTCTTGGGACATTAACACAGCTGTCCGTAAGATGCAAAGTCCGTAGAGCGCAGGAGGCGTTGCCATAGAAACTTTCTGTCCCAACATTTTCGAATCGCTGTAGCGTGGCGAAACGCCGAACTAACGACGCGATGCGCTGCCAAGACACATAGCGCGCTAGATGGGGTATAAGTATGGAAGTTACTAGCTTGCTAATTCGGAAAGTAAGGGGATGCTAAAGCACTTAGGAAGAATTCGTGGGGACATCCTTAGCTACCCTATCGACTGTGATGAAGACTACGCGGGCTGGTTAGTTATCCAGCTCTTATCCTCCTTCGCCGGCCTGACGATGCTACCCAGGCAGCTGCCTAAGCCTCTAGTCTAATCTGCCCAGCGCTGAACTTGTAGAGCTCTAGATCCAGGATTAAGAGGAAGGCCTCCTCCACGGCCATGGTTACGCTATCCTCATCTCTAGCGATGTACCCCCTCTCCAGATCCAGCCCTAGGTCCGCTATTAGCGACATCCACGACTGACCCAGAGCGCGATGCTGCGTGTCTTCTCAATCACGCTCATCTGCTCGGGGTTCCAGATATGGCTCAATGTAGCATGCGCGGATGTCGCTGCTGGAGCTTGTGAATAAACGCCTGTCCAGGCATCCAGATGGATGGTAAATCCATTCTCGTCCTAGTGTGAGCGGGTTGTCTAACTTTGGCTGGTGGCAAGCCAGGTGGTATAGCAGGTAAGGTAGCGGGAGTGGTTTGTGAGGCGTGCATCCCACCAGTAGGTTAGAGAATGAATGGAAGATAAGAAGGTGAAAATGGAGGATTGGTGATGGGAATCGAAGATGGGATTGATCGATTGATTTCTCTCGTTTTAAGTCACCAACCTATAGAGAATGGGAAAGAAGGCATGGGCAAAAGAAATTCAGAGAGCGCGAGCGGTTTACCGATCGCGTGATTCCTGGAATCCCTTGGGTACGGCTGGGCGCGCCTGGTCCAGTGTTCTCCATGAGTGGCGGAAGAGCCTGCCTTTATCCAGATTTACCGGATACGTGGCTCTAGGAGTGTATGGCACTGGAAGTCATGCGTACAGCTCCTGTACACCTCCGTGGGCTCTTCTGCCTTTGCCAGCAACCTCTTCCTAGGCCAGGGTGGTGAGTTAGTTGCGCGACATGGCTGTATTGAGCATTCTTTCTAATCCCTGGCTTGGCTGGCTCGGCGGCGAAAACGAGCGGCCTTAAGCAGCGTTTCGACGCGCTCCACCGCACATCCATCCACCTCTACCCCGCTATCCCGCAAACCCTCCTCCTCCTCGTCGGTCGTGGCCTGCTCTCACTTGGCGCCGCCCCAGTCTAGCATCCGCTCTTAATCATCGCCGCCAGCGCATGGCGCTGCCTCCAACACAGCCACCATTCCACCAGCATCGTTTCCGCCAACGAGTCCCTCAACGTACGTGCCACAGGCGCCGTCGCACCAGACGAGCGGCCGCACCCACGCGTCTTGTTGCCACATGAGCGCTCACGCTGCTATGGTGGTCCAAGGTTGGAGCGCGATGCGCCGCCGCCGCCCCTCATGAACAGTGACCTAGATGCAATACCTTTTAAGCGAATAATCTCCACGAATACATTAAGAATGACGTCTCGCGCTAGAGGGCCGCATCGCCTGGCTCTTACAAAGCAATATTGGTGCTAACCATTGGTAGCAGTAAGCTGGACCTCTGCATTACTCTTGCGTACTGCATCTTCTCTGCTTAATCCTCCATCGACGAAATATCACACCTTCTCGGCTCGGCTCCTCGCTGACAAAACGGCGCCAACATATGTGACACTGACATAATCTATCGCCTCTAAGAGGTGCAGGATGACTTTACCTCATGACATGCAAGAAGCTGGAATCCACGCACTTTACGAAGACTATGCTGACTTAAAGACACGCTACTTGGAATTCTTGGCTGCAAAGGTGGTCCTGAGTGAAGAGGATGCTCGGCTCTAACTCTAAGTGGCGGAGAGTGCCGCGACCAAGTCAACTTCGTCTCCTACCATGCTAATTAGCTCAGTTCCGCAGACCGCTTAAGCCCATCCTGGTTGCACGAAGCCAAACAGGTTGAACTATAGGAGACAGAACCGCATCCTGCTATCTCTAGAACTTGCCCAAACCCTCTCCTGCCTTCGGGATCCGGCTCGACGCAGCTCTAAACAAGCCTCCGAGCAGCCTGGGGAGAAGGAGCTGACGTTTGTATCCATGCCTCAAGCACTCCTCCTCATCCTTTGTTTAATCAAAACGTTTCGCAGCCGCCGCTCACGAACCTGGCACCATTCCTTCTACTCAGCCCTTGTCCACTAATATCAATACCAATACCAATGCTAATACCGAAGCAGAGGCTAACGGCTATGCTGCTCGTAAACTCCCTCACACTTTAGTGGATACAGACAATACAAACATGGGAGGTATCATGTCATAGAGGATTACAGCTGATACTAGGGCAATACATGTCCGCTTCTGCTGTCTCCATGCTCCATATGACGCACCGCGGAAAGCACTTCGCGATACGCCTTTTCGCAGCGGGACCGCAAGAGGCGTTGCAGTCGCCCAACCCTGGCTAATCTTTGGATACCAGACAGCAGAGGTTGCCGCAAGAGGGTAGGCAATTGGTACACTTGTCATTGTCGAGCGGAAATGTGTTATAGAGTGTACTTACTTAGCTCCTGGTAGCCAAGTCCTCTTTGTCGTAATAGTTCCCGAAGGGTAGTTAGCGACGAGATTCACCAAGTTCCTCTAGAAACGTCGCTCTAAATCCCGCTCCACAGCCCCGCTTCACTTTGTTAGATCCAAGTACAGTGCGTTATTGTTCTCAAGTACATCTATCATACCACCTTATCATCTGCAATCCAATACACTAGCATGCGCATTATCTACGGAAACAGAACTCTATAGTCCCTGTTGCTTTTACCCCGCAGCATATGCCTGCGAGAAATATGATCGACCATGACCAAGTTACCCTACATGCCTCGCATGGCGCAGACAAAGGATTCTACTAGATTGCCGATGAGAGAGATGTATGAATTGTAGAGGCGGGCTTCTCGGGAACCTTACGCGGAGTGATAAGGCGGAGGAGCAGCTTTGCCTTCCCCTTCCCTGTGCTGATTAGGGGCCTCGTCTAACGCGAACGCCAAGTGCACAGGGATCAGAGCACTTTTAGAGGCTTCAACACTGGTAAGAAGGATTAGAAAGCTGGATTGCATGGGTTTTAGCGTCGCCCATTCACTAGCTACAGTGAGGGATTAGCCAGGCAATGCACGCCCGCACAATACAGACGCTCTTGAGGGGGGAGGGCATTGCTAACAGCGTACGCGCTGCGGGGTAAAGACGAGCGCCCGTTGATAACGCTATTGTAAGGCTCTCCGCTACGGTGGATGCTATTAGAGTCTTTTCCCAAGAAAACAGGATGCTGCCTACGAAACAGAAAAGAACCAGGGTGGCTAGCAAGTCTCACCCCTCCCTCGCCTCCCTCCCTCCCTCGATCTCTTTCTCGCTGTTCACAGCCGGTGATAGCGCTAGAGGCGGGTTTTCTAAAATCGAAGATCCCTCTTTACAAATACTCTGCATTCCCTCCTGCACTTTTTATTTTCAACATCACGATTACATAGAACAGACCAGGCGCATTCAAATGAAATTTCAACGGTAATTTTCTAATGCGCGGTTGTTGAGTTCATAGATTGCTGCCTACCTCAGGTTTATATTTCCGCGATCTCGAAGGCATTCTATAGCTCAGCCGCTATCAAACGAGACTTTAATCATAATTTTCTAATGTGTGGTTATTGAGTTCGTAGTTTGTAGCTCAGCGCGTACGAAATTGTTTTCTCGCCTTTTTAGCGCCTCAACGCTTCCTAAACCCTTCACCTCTCGTCTTATCAACCCTCCTCATCCAAACCACTCTCATTGGGCCCACCGAACAAGGCCGGTGCCTACGTAGATGTGCTCTGACAGCGCCAACTCAGCTGCCATGGCAGGACTAACAAAGGCGCGCCACCCGCATCTATCTCTCCTTTATCCGCTTGCAGAAGGCCGTGTTCGACACTGGCAGCGAAATACATGTGCGCCAGCGTGCGCATCAGCGTTCCCCACCTCACCCCCTGGGTGCTCGAGCTTCCGGATCTGCGCCCACTCTTCAATGAGCTCCTCTCCTTGATAAAGATGCTCAACAGGTCATATCGGCTCACGCGCCGCTGTTGGCACCTAGACAAGCGAAGGTTCCTCCCACAGCTCTCAGATACCAAGGAGGCTCATATCTTGGCGGTATAAAGACAGGAGAGTGGAATGGCTGGCCAGTGAAGGCTACCCCCACAAGATATATGCAAACTTGTTGATGCACGAGAACATGGAGGCGACTCTTGCCCACCAACTTTAGGGGTGTTCAGATTCAGCATGGTAGGTAAGTACTCAGTTACTTACAAATCGGTGACAAGGTTCAACGAGATGACGTGGATAGCATAGTCGAGACCGCCTGCAACACCCCATCAAGCAAACAGCCACAGTCTCGGAACTGACCTGAACTGGCCACCACATCGAGCACCAGGACATCAATGCCTACAACCCTCTACCCCAAGTCTCTTGAACACCGCGAGATCCCCGTATAGCGTCCACCACAAACCGCTTGCAACTTTCCGATCTTAAATCCCTCACACAGTCTAAAATCCACTGCCCAGGCATTTACTGGTAAGCACGAGCTCACCCCCATATGCTACATCTACAAGGAAAACGACTGGGGAGAAACCACGGGAGAAACCATAATCTTCACACGTGTCATAGCTTTTCCAAATTAGCCGCAAGTACTCGCTGCGCCTCGAGCTCGGGCCATCACTTCAGCATAGTAGGTGAGTACTTAATTACCCACAGATCACCACACCTCATGAGCTCGCCAAGCGCCGCTCCTGAACTGCGCCTCCTCATGAAGGGCTGCTTCGTGAGGCAGATGCACTATAATACCAGCACGCTGATGTCTTCTTTACCTTCGGTGGTATCCAACAGATTGCGTCTGGTAAGCCGAGATCCCTCGATGAATTGACAGCAATAGTGGCCAGCATCCAACTTTTCAAGTATGTTTGGATCCTACAGAACACATCCATTACTGAGTTCTATACTCGCTAAGTTCCCTTCAATAACACTCGTGCCTACACAGGACTCAGTGAGCTATGCTTCGATGCACGTGCTCAATCCCTCCTCTGTCACCTAACCAGGCAACTCTGTGCATGTTCTCAGCCCCTAGCAAAACAAGACGGAATGTTCGACTACTGCTGGGTAAGATATACCAAGAGGTCTTACGTGCTCTCCGATAGTCTTATAAAGTCGCTGCTGAGCACACTGGACTATACTTTAGCATTTAGCGGCGTTTTTGTTCGAGGTGGAAGGGAACTCGATCGTGGCCCTTTTGTCTTCGGTCCACCATCCAGCTACAGAATCGTGGCACGCTATCGCATGAAACCCTATTAGTCTTGAACTCAGTTTCAGAGCCTGTAACATGAGCACTGCATGTTGGTGGGATGATGCCGCCACAGGAGGTACTCCTCTGCCACTCCTTTGGCGATGGTCAACTATCATCTTCCTCATAAATATGTAGCCGGCGGCGCTGTCTGGCTGAGTTAAAGCATATTAGTTATCAGGCCGCTTCTCCACACACCCTATTTCTTTTCAGCTGTATGGCGCAAATAGCTCAAAGCTCACTCCATCCCTCTTCCAGAAATCATCCCCTCGACTGCATGCTCACCTTCAGAAGGGAACGCGAAAAAGGATGCTATGGTCTGGGAAGTGGATGCCGAGACGAGAAGATCTTGCTTATTCGATTGCGCGTATGCTGTCCTACTCTGGCGATGTCTCCAACCTTTCCGAGAACCAACTGAACGGTAAATTAGTTCTGTGTCCAGCTGTGGTAGGCCTACAATATACGATTGCTCGAGCTTTTCTGGCTTCGTGGACCCAACTTCCTTATGTGCAATTGGTGTCAGGGTAAGTCCGGCCAGTGAAGTGGTGCTAGCGATTCTGGTAAGAGGCCATGGGGCGCGAATGCATCACTGTGTTCATGGGATAGTCCCCCTATGTCCGCAACGGTATCGTTTGGATGGCTGTAGGCACACCTGAACCTTAAGCTTGGGGATCTCGAGCTGTTGGTGTAGGCTGTCAAGTTGGGCTTCTGAGTTGGGATCATATAAGCCTAGACCAGGTTGAGTGCATGTGGGGGCTGAGGGGTTTAAGTGGGCGGTCGAGGCGGGCTCCCAAGTCGGGCTCGCACGGGCCCAGACCTTGTCCTTCGTCAAGTGCACTGTGGAGGCACTCGAAAAAGGTAACTGAATAAAGTATAAGGGAGTATCTGCCAGTTACCAACACATGGAGATACAATGCACTATTCTCTACTACGATACAATATCCTTTAGTATATTACATATTATAGCAAACCATAAGATTCGAATAACAACGAACAACCTCTAAAGCGAAACTCGACACCACAAGCCCTTGAGAGAACAATCACGTAAACCCAACCCCATCACAAAGGAGACCTTCGCCTCAACGAAGACGCATAATGCGAGTCTTCTTCCAAGCAACTCCCTTCGAGACGGCGCTTGTTGTGTGTGCATTCCTCAACCTCGTTATCCTCGGCGTACTCGCGTGTCTCTGCTATACACATCCGACCACAGCGCACGCCCTGTACGCACGAGTCCCAGGGAAGGAATACGCTCTCCAAATCATCGCAGTTGTTCGCTTCTGCATCACAGTCGCCCTACCTGCAACAGCCTATATAGGTTGGAGTGTCCTTGCTGGTTTGGCGCAGATACTGTGGTTCGCTGCATACATAAAGGTGTCGGCGGCGGGCATTCAGATGCGAGATCTCCTACACAGAATCAATGACCGGCTTAACAATGTCATCGATTCCAATACAGCAAAGAAATAGGAGAAGGGATGGCACGCTTATTGCACAACGGCTGGATCAAGATTCTCTGCTTTACCATGGCCATGTTCGGAGCCATAGGTATGTGTGGAATATTGCTTAGTCCTACCGCGATTATAATGATGGCATTCGTCATATCTTAGCTTTGAGGAACGAGAACTATGCTCAACCCAATCCCTAGAGACTTGAAATGTAAGGATAACAATGAGTCTTTGTCGCAGATGCTGACAAGATTAAGTCTTGAGTCTCTTCGAGTCTCCACCATCTATATTGTCCTACCCTGGGTCTCTGGCATCGGCAATACAGTTCTTAGACGAGAGCTACAGGCATTTAAAAATCCTACCTATCGTCAACCATGTCCCCTAGAGAAAGCTCCCCTATATACACCCTTCGAGATGTGTGGCCTCGTGACAGCCAGAGAATATAGTGCAGACACTTCTTCACCCCAGGTCCACTGCTAAAGAGAAAAGGGATTCACTTAGGAGACATCGCCAGCTGCATATTCGTCACCCTTGTGGCAAATTCGAGGCACTTAGCCTCCAATAGATCAGGCTCTTTCGTGCAGTTGTCCATCGCCGATAATCGGCACATTTCAACGTCGCCTTGGTCTTCTTTGAAGGGTACAGGCTGATTGCTGTACAGTTAGTTAATCTAAATCAACTAAGCCTCTGCCCGACTGCGACCCTGAACAAGCGCAGTCGTCGGAACAGCTTACAGTCTCACTCGACTGCTGTCTATCAAGGGCACCTCTCGATTGCGGGCCTGAAAACTTTCGCTAGCCCAGTTTCGAAGGTGTGAAGCATGTCTCCGCGTGAGCGGCGGGCTCCCGAGGTGGTGCGCGAGTCGAAGAAAGACTGTCGTATGGGCACCTCGAGAGTGGGGCGAGGCGGAAGTGCCAACTTGACTGAGGACTGGCATTCAATGGGTGTTATGGGTCACATCCAACATTCCCCCTTGTATCTCAGTGTCACCTAATTTAGTAAGACCATCGTCTTTCCGCATCTTCATTGACCTCTCTATCTCTCTAGAGGGGGTCTAGACGGTTACAGGCCTGATGTGTGGAGAGCGAGATTGCTGATAATTGAGCCGATAGACTGCGTAAATGACGAGCTCATAAACGACGAATGAGCTCGGGGCCTCTTCTCCATGTTGGGTAGTCCCTTGGGTGACGCCGCAGTCTTCTTCTCGAACGAAATCGTAGTGTTTTTATCACCTACGCCATTGCTATCTTACCTACGCCGTTGCTAACATCAAGCTCCCAGTCTGCCCTTTGGCCTTTCACGATAGAGAGTGCTCGTGAAGTACTTCTTCGGTTGCGGCAGTCTGGTTGAACATACGTTAACCTAGCAATTAGTCTGGGTACGTTCGTGACACTCTCCCTGGACTTGGGGCATGTGCTCAGCGGTAAACTGGAGCGTCGTTCTGGGGAAAGGCGGCCCAACGAAGTGACGAGAGTGTTTCGGCAACTCTGAGGATGCGACCAGAGCGCTTCAACGACTTTCGACATTAATGGCAGCCTCTATCTGCTCATCCAGTAAGCCTTCGTTGTGCAAATTTTCCAAGGAGAGGCCACCAGTGGAATGAAGCAAGGAGGAAGAGATATAAAGAACCTCAAGAAGAACAAGACGAAGAAAAAGAAGCATATTCTCCCAACCATCACGTCCAAGTCCAAGCTAGAACTAGTCTACCTACTAGTTAAGCAGCGCAGTTTGCTGCTTCGCGTCTCCGTTATGCCCTGTTACAGATGATCCGTAACTGCCTGCGAGGCCTCCGTGACTAGACTTGTATGAGCTACGAATGCGCACATACTGACATAACCTCCACTGCTAATCCTCGAATTTAGGTCTCTCGTCGTGGCTTACAGCGCGGGCTCCTATCGTATCCGTTTAGTGGGGACTTTGTCGAGCGTATACCAAGCCTACTATAGTCTCCTACTGAAATTACACTGCCAGTTACTAGCCTGCTGAATTTTGGGTTACAGTCGTTCGAGTTCGCCTGGTGACGTGTCGAGACTGTTGGAAACGCGAACTAAGGGAGGAGTTGGCGTCTTCTGGGCTAGCGGGCTGTTGGATTTGGAGCCGAACCTGCCGAGATGTAGAGGGCCCTTCTGTGGTGTCGGTTGGTCGATCGAGGCGTCGATATAGACAAGTGTTTCTGCGGTACGAGGACTTGTGAAGCTGGACCGGTTTCTTGGAAACTGCGGTGAATGAAGACCGTGATGACCAGATACCTTCCCGCACGCTAGCATTTAACTTCGAGGAGCAGAGTTTGTGGAAGATACAGGTATCCAGGTCATAGTGAAGGCTAACCAGCAGCTCCGAAAACGAACGGCGCGCTTTGTTGCAGGTACTGAGACATCTACGGAAGTGGCATTAGACACCAGAGAAGCAAAACGCCTTCTTCATTCGAGCCTTTACGTTCAACCACCAAGGAGGTGCGAAACTATAGCTACTGTTGACCTACAGATGGATTTGTTTCCTTAATTCTATAGGCGTACCCCCGAACGGTACAGCACTCTGCTCCAAACGTGCTTTGACGGTTTCGGTCTTTCGACACTCAATTATCTCTCTGTAATTCTATAATTACAATGCCTTAACGATTCTTGCAGAATTTCCATATTAATGGAACTAAGAATGTATCACTGCGGGCGAACATGCAGAGTCTAGATATACCTCCATGTCGCCAGTGGAAATCCAGCGCCAGATGGCACCAAGACCCGCACAGCTTCCTACGTATATTGCGACCTGCTGGCATTGTAGCTGGACAATTCTCGAACGTTGCGGCTGTGCGATCCTGATACAGCCCATGAGCAAGATGCATACCAGCCGCATTTCGACATTACGTAAAAGCTCTGCTCCCTCCAAATCTGGCCCCAGGTGACCAAACTGCGCCGCCCTCGCCGAGAATTTCCAGCAATTACACAATGACATGGTGTTTCCATCGCACAATGCCCGCTCTCCTCTGCGCTCTTCTCTTCCCTCAGCATGACTATCACGCACGCACGCACGCGCGCAAAACTCTAGTCATACATACCATGCCGCAGCACCACGTGGAAAACGACGCAAGCGACGCCCCATGCACGCAACCCCCACCCTCTCCTACGAGCAGAGAAGAAGCTCGCATTGCATCAGCCTATGAAGTATCCGCATCTAGGAGAAGCCCGCTTTCGATCGTGGACCTATAGAGCAGGCCCACAAGGGATAAAGACGAACACGGAGCGAGAGGCTGAGCTACATGTGCCTACAAGTGTCCCTTTGCCATATTCGTACGTACGGCACTGGATGGCCGACGACAGCGATGATAGTGACGAGTCAACCGTGGCCTTAACGCGTAGGCCGCCAGATATTTATGGTCAGGTTCCTCGACGTCTATAGGATCGAACGGAGGCACATCAGGCCCAGATAACTATATCACGAGTGGGTGAACTTGCAGCTCCTTCATCCGTCTCTCTCTACGCTTCTGTCGTCGTTATCGCTTGGTTCGAGCCGAGCTGGATGCGTTATTGATATCCTGTCACCCAATCTCACCCTATGAGCAAGAAAGAATCCGAAGCAAGCCTATGGCAACCTGGAGAGTAAAGCAGCCGCCCTACTCCGCCCCCACACGAGAAGAAGCACAAGGTTGCATTGGCCTGGATTCGGAGAGCGTGCACATGAGAGGGAAGAGTGCAGAGGGGCTGGACTACATGTGGATACGTATGTTCTTCGCCGTATCCATTCGTACTGTGCTGGATGGGACGAACGGGGCCAGACAGCAACTCTACATACTCAACGAAACCTTGCCTTCTATTCCCTTTCCTTCTTCCCTTTTATCATCACCCTCGTCGTTTGTTGTCGTTATCAGACTATCTGCATCGATATCATTAATCGCGTTCGATACACAGAAACAGACAGGCTCCTCGACGTCCTGGCTACGTCTTACTCGGCTCCTTCATTTATTTCTTCTTGCCATCTTGGAATGGTCGTTAGTTTGATCTGAATAGGTAGAGGGGGTTTTGGACTGGGCTTGATAGTGGAACGGAATGGAACAGAACGAGGTGGAACGAAGAGCTGTTGGTAGTGGGGTTGAGATTGGGAGAATGTTGGGTTGTTTCTTATTTTGTCATTCTTGATGCCTCGGCTGTTTGGTATGGAATGGGTGAAACGGAATAGATTAGAATGAGACGAGCGTGGTTTAAACTTACTACGACATAGGTTGTGTTATCATCCTTAACCTCATCCTGTATGAAGCAACGGTATAGTAGTGGTAGTTGTAGTAGTAGCAGTCGTGGCGGAACAGTAGAGAAGCTTACTTTCTTTTCTCTCTAGCGGCTCGGTGTGATACAGTTCAGTTTCAGCTAATTTTTTTTACATCGAGGGCGCATCTAGTCGGATTGGAAACATGATTTGAATGAGCGAGCGAGCTTCCAACATCAACGCGGCGCCGTCTTAGTCCGCATGGCTTGTTCGTAGTCCCTGTAGCTTGTCCGTAGTAGCTGTAGCTCGTTCGTAGTAGCTATAGCTCACTCGTAGTTCCTCTAGCTCATTTGTAGTAGCTGCGGCTGCAGCCGCGAAGATAAAGAAGGTTGCTAGATAGAAACTACACTGTACCTTAACAACAGCATCGTCTATCAGAGCGGCGCATTGTACTTTACCTTGGCGCCTTCATCGTTCGCTATGAAAGCGCATTGTACCCTAGCACCTCTATTGTAACTGGAGTACATTGTACCCGAGTCTATCACAGCACACAGCGACGCATTATACCCCAACACTACCACCCTGCATTCCTAAAGCGCCCTCCATCCCGCTACATAAACCCTCCTCAACACTACCCCTCCACTCCCACATCCCTCACATCCTTCAAATCTATCCAACCAACCATCCACGCAACCACAATGGAGCCCATCGGCACCCTCCTGCTCTCCATTCTCGTCGAGTACGTCGAGAGCACCCTGTGCTTCCTGCTGTGCTTAGTAGGCTCTGGCTTCATAACAGCCATCATGTACCACATGCTGGACTCGTTGTTCGACCTGACGCCAATATCTTACGCGCAAATAACTCTTGGCTTCTTCCTTGTCGCTATCCTGTACTTGTTCTCCATCATCATGTTTCTGTGGTTCAAGCTGGACACGCTTGAGCGGCAGATGAGCCAGCTGCAGCTGCAGCTTAAGAAGAACGAGGAGAAAAAGAAGAAGCAGGAGGAGAAGAAGGAGCGTGATGTGCTCGGCCCGTCACTTTAGGGCAAGAACCAGGCTGCTAAGGCGTAGAACTGGGCGCTTAATAGCGTCGTACTTAATACGCAACTTAGTGTAGAAGTTTACTAACTTGCTTCTAGACGCGCTAACGTTTAGATATAAGCAGAGGTGCATGCATAATATTAAACCTATAGGTAAAGTCTACAAGACTTACTCTAGTTCTAGAAAATAGATTAGATAGTAAATAGCCTATAGACTTAAGTCTATAAGATTTAAGTTTAAAAAATAGAATAAAAAAGATATTATCGCTAGCTGTCAGAGACAGAAGCGTGACAGCGGTCCCGAGAACGAGATTAGAAAGTTTGCTAATAGACCAAATTGGTGGATATGTTTTGCGCCTCGCTTGAGATGCGAAAGGAAGGGTCGTTTGAAAAGAGATGCTGGATGAAAAGCTAAATTCTTAGTCTGGGGCTTTGAGAGATCATCCGTTGCTGCTATGGGGTGCTGCCCTTGAAATCGTCCCAGTGCGTCCATTGAGTGGGAGTGAGTGGGTCCCTGATTAATTCTCATCTAGCTCGCGGACGGCGTGTGGCATTGCATACGGGATTTAGGACCACTTAAGCGGCGTTGTGCACTTCTGATTCGCCAGCTAGCGCGTTAATCGCTGCTAAGCGTGCTTTTTCGGTGCTTTCGGTGCTATAATTGGACCCCAGTTATAGACGTGCTCCTGGGTTCTGCGGTGTTTCTTCTTGGAGGGAAAGTTGCGCGATGGTAGGCTAACGGACTGCGTGCTAGTCCTGCTCCAGGTCTTTTAGCCGCGGAGTAGAATATACTCACTATGGTTACATATTTCCCTGAATTAGGGAGAAGGCCAGGGCTCCAATTTAGGTAACTCTTCTAGGCCTATTAGGGGTATAAGCTATTTCCCTCCAAATTCACCCCACCACTCCTCTTCAGAGGTGATCAAGTCTTTCGCGATCACAGCGACCCATCTCCATACCACGTCATCCAAACTACTCGAAGTTCTTCACACCATCGCAATTAAATTCTAGCGGCTGCAATGGGTTCGGGACTGGTCAATCGGTCTGTCCCGCTCGGCACAGGGTCGGAGCTTTATCTCTTCCCAGCGAGTAGAGATCAAGATCGAAAATCTACGAGTTCCGACGAGATGATGGTAAAGGGTTAAAGCGGGGCTTATGGAATGCTCGAACAGTAGAGCGGGAAATCCGCACTGATGATAGACCTGAGCATGCGTAGAGGGAGGAGCTGTAGCAGACAATTTTAAAGACAGAGCACACAGGTGGCTGGGCAGGTCCAAGTTCCGGTTTATTGATAGGGTCGTCACAGTGACAGCACTCCCGCCTAGCTCGTACGCAGTTCGGGACCACTACCAAGGCCGTGAGGTTATTCAGCACCTTAGTCAAAAGCACCACCGCGATGGGCGCATCTACCAGGAGAAGGGGAAGATAGTGTGAGCGAGCATCAATCACAATAGAGGTGTAAAGAGGCTCAAGCGGAGGGCGTAGCATCTTAAAACTAAGAATATCCTATTACGGGCGCGGTAGGATTCAGATATCGGTAGCTGAGAAGTCTCATCCTCAGGGCGCTATAACTTCGCTATCCAAGTAGACAGCAGCCATACACCAGCTTCCCTAACTCCCTTTACGCATACCCTAACACCCACCACGTCCTCACAATCCCATCCCCTTATAACACCCACTCCCTCTGGTGCCGCCCTAGCACTTGATCACGGGATCATCTACAAACCGCCCCTATCCACTTATAGTTGTCCTTCGCCTTCACCATCTTTCCCCTCGCGTCCTCTCCTCTAAGTACGACATTCCTTCCCTCTCGCTCTTATCCTGTTCGATCCACGCATTACAACACGCAAATTCGCGAAGCTTCGAGGTCATAGCAAGCAAGAAGTACGTCGGTCTCCACTCCAGGTAGGCGCGGAGGCGTTGGATTATTGCGATTAAAAGACCCCAGGGGCATAGCCGCAGGTCGTACCATCCCGGCGTGTTTGGAGGCTCGTTCGAGGGGAGAATCGATAGAAACGCCATATTGCAAGCAATCGAACAGGTCGCGGAAGGGCAGTAGAGGGTCGGCGCGTGGAGAAAGCCGCAAGACACGTCGGGGACATGAAGCGGATTGATCAAAGCCAACATCGAAAGGAGTCGCGACCGAGATGATGAGGAACACGAAGTGAAGATGACAACCCCAGCACCCCTATCGGCAGCCTCCATCCCTCACTAGACCACGGACCCGAAGATGGGCCTATAGGCAAACGGTCTAAACGCAAATCAAGCAGAGAGGCGCTTTACACAACGAGTCCGCAAGAGACAGCGCTCGTCAGAACAGCATCGCGGCCAGTCAAGACCAGCGACAACAGCCTCGCAAATAGGGACCGCTCAACATGAGCCTTACCTCCACTAGCACACGAGCAAGGCGCCTATGACGACTACCAGGACGATATTCCCAGTTCATCAACCGTTTCACCTCATCCTTCGGTCTATTCCTGGACAAGTCCACCTCCAATATGGTCGAGCAAAGGATCTCCAGCCACGGTGTGCGTCATTTGCTCCCAGCAAGTTAGAAACTATTCTTATCTTGCCTTTTCAAGACGCATGGATCTGTCGAACCATGCCACGAATCTAAGCCAAAGCTGTGCCGGACCACCGCGAGAGCTCTTTGGTGTTGCTAGCCCAGTAGCGAAATTGATACGGTACAAAAGGCTACGCCGACAATCTTTCTGACCCGTGCCGTTTCCCTCTCTCTGTGAATTCCCCATGGGTTACTAACACACTCGGCTTACGAAGATGTCCACCAAGAAGCTCGTGCCTACTACTAGCATATCACCTGGTTGCAAACTAGATGTTAAGGACGTTTACGTGATTCGTAACCCGCTGTCCTAGCACTAAGATCTGAAACATGCTACTAATCTACGGACAACCTTTCCCACTACTAGAGACACAAGAATGCCGTAGACTTGACGAAACCAGATCTTCTCAAGCAACCGAGCAAATTTCATCCAGTTCCTTGAAACGAGCAGGGAGATCAGAACGCAGACGATTGGCCCTGTGAACGAATCGAGGACAGCAGCGCTACAAGTATTCGCCCACGACAGCGCGTTAGTGTTTGCCTATCACAAAGTTATATTAGTGGATTATATAGTAGGCTCTTCTAGCTGTTACCCTCAACTTGTACAAATCTGGCATTTATACCTAGAACACCCAGCCTAATATGCTTTAACGCCGAATCCACACATGCCCCTAGCTCGAAATTTTGCATATGGAATACTTAGCCAAATATGCTTCATGACCTAGTCTAAAAGTTAAATTTTCGTAGGTAGAGAACTCGGTCCGCAGCTAAAGGGAAATTCCTCACCTTAAGTGTTTGGATGTGTGAGAGCTGTCAAGTATAAGGAAGCTCCTTGTGGACCAGAATTATGGACGTGAATGAACGTGATAGCGCTGAGGTATACGAGGTAAACAGCCCTGCAACAAGGGCGATTCTCAAAGGCATAGTGGCTGATAAAGAGAAGAAGGGGTGGGGAGCGCGATGTTCCGAAAACGTCGAGCTTTATTGCGCCAGTACTAGCCTGTGTCGAAAGCCCAGACGGTCGCCCTATCGCTCAAGCCTCGCCGTTTTAGGTGGGTGTGTGACTCTTCCAATGTTTTAATGCGAGTTTACTATAGGTGTAGCCCTCCTCCGGTTGTAACACTGGGTATCAGGGCAGCGTTCAAAGTCGAGGATAATAAGCGAGTGATCGATTAACTGGCGTGGCGTAACTGGAGTAATGCGGCTAGGAGCACCTTGAGTCTGTTGAGGCGTTCTGGTCTCTCTAAAGCCTCGGTCGGTGTGGGGCTTATACAATGTAGGTTCGCAATATCAGGAGTGTACCCTTCGCACGCCAAAGAAGGGCGCTAGTAGCCCACGCTTTTCCGCGGCACTGCGCTTGTCATGCTTTATCACGGCACTTCCGCAGGTTTGTTTTAATTCCACCCTACAGGAATCGTATTCTCCACCTTCTGCGGACTAGTAAAAGGTGGTCTGGAGCGGTAACACATGGCTTGGAACACTCGTGATGAGGAGAGGGCGAGAGTAATGGAAGACATGGTGCCCAGGTCGGCTGTTAGTAACAGCTCTCTTGTCTAATTGCTATCTATCTATGCTTTCGAGGAGTAGAGCACATTTCTAGACACTTACATCGACAAGCTTATGAAAACCTCAGGATAGTTACAAGGCCTGAGTAGCTCTATCTGGTTGTCGAGCTCGGTCTCCACACAGTCTTCATCCTTCGCCATCATCCTCTCGACATACATCTGCATGTGCTCCGGAATCTCTAGAAGGGCGGACTTGTTCCTAGCTGTAATGAGATTACGCCAAGAGTGGGGGATCTCTTGCAGGGGAGAGAAGGTCGATTACATTCTCCCAATAGACCTCTACAAGTGGCCACAGAGGTACAGATGTTACAGTCCATGTCAGGATTAAGTCTAGAGATATAGCTGTAGGTGATCCTGCTACAGGTTTAGGACAGGCTGCATTACTATGCCTTCTTGTAGATAAAGGCTTAGATACCTCGGCATATGTAGGCTCCCATACGGTCATGCCACTGCTCTTGCGAATACTCGACTTAGAAGAGTGCGTCTCCTGCTTGTAGGTACCGTGGTTAACTTTAACAACGTCCAACAGGGTGCTAACACCCTACCACTTCTCCATGTTCTCTATTATCTTAGAGTGGAACTCCTCGAACGAGTGCATTAATATGAGCGCCTACGCCGTCTGCTTCTTAGTCGTGGCTATCTGGCTAAGAGCAGGCTCGTACACCTTCTCCCATCTCTCTGGCGACTATTTCATGTCCTCAGGCATCGGCGTACCTGTGTCTAGTAGTCCTTCTAGAACTACTGCGAGTCTATATCAACCATACATACATGCTCGATTGGGGCCTCGTCGGCGACCATCAACGGGACCTCGACGCCGATGTACGTGGCTAGCTCCGAGTCTCTTGTCACCTACACACTCACGTCGAACGTCGTAACCAT